GCAATCAAAAATTCCATTCGATGTCTTTTGTTTTACGTCATGAATTTCTTTGGTATCTTAGAGCTTGGTTATGTGAGGGGTCTTAGTGGCATGTTCAACAGCCCACAGGATCGTTTAGCTTCAGCACGTCAGCAACCAATAAATCTCATAGTTTAAACCACCTATCGGTTAACTTCATGGCAGTTTTACTCTGTTTCGAAGTATAGAATTTATTTTCTCATTTACACGAAGAACACCTCATATTATTAAAGATAGCACTATATCCCATTCAATTGTCATTATCCTGAAGAAATTCAAGGCTAAATTTTTGACAATTTGAACACGGTAGAAGCTCGAATATGTCTTTCAAAATTTCCATGTCGACTAAACGAAAGCCAGACACTCTCCTTTTTGGATTATTTATGTTCGGTATGTTGGAATCCTGGCAGAAATCCTTCGAGCGGAAGCAGAAGTATTTGCTTCGCTCGTCTCAGCTTGATCAGAAATTCTAAGCTTTTTAGCTGTATTTTGAAGCTGATTGCCAGATAATTTACGCTTTTTCGTATAACCAGATGATTTCTTATTCCCCATCGTTACATAATGAGAATAACTTCGATAAAAGAACAATTTTAATTGCTTTGTACACCATGTAGTTGTGAATTTCAAATGTGTTGATAAAAACTCATAGCAGTGTGCTCGCAGATAACTTGTGGTCTACATGGCCTATAACTCATGTAAATAGCTTAAAATTGATCAACAAATGTACCAACTAACTAGAGGAGCGGTAAGCAAGCCAATGCGATACAAATATAACGCTATGAAGCAATCCAATCAGATTTTATTCAAGACAACGATGCGTTGCTAAGGCGTTGGCACGGAGAAAAATCTTATATGTCCCCACGAAATCGCTAAAATATTGCACTTCTACTTAAAGTTATGGGGTGAACAATACATCAAACGAAAGTTCATCAACTGTAGAATTCAAAAATGTATGTTTCAAAAATTTTATAATTTCGATATTTTTCCCAATATAAGGGTGGAAGACCACTTTACTCATTTACTCAATACTGGTCATAGGGCCCTGTCTTTGGGGCATGCAATTGGTCAATTTTTTTCTTCAGTGGTGGGGCAGAGGAAGGGGCCCAGTGGGGCAAATGCCGCACCAGTCCATGGTATTAAAAAATGCCTTGACTGAACGTCAAGATGAGGACAAAGCTAAACAGACACATATCCAGATTTGAATGAAACTTATGATATTTCTGAGAGTTTAGGTATCCCATCATCCTTGCCAAATAATGAACCACCCATTTTAAATGAAATGCAAGACGATGAATTTCGAGGATTGCTCTAAATGCTTAATAAAAGAAAGATAATTTTTTACCATGCTTTGCATTTAATAAAAACATCTGATAAACCATTTTATGCCTTTTTATGTGGAGCTGGATGTGTTGGATAAATCTCACCTCATTGAATCAGTTTATCAAGCAGCATTAAAATACTATAATGCACAAGCTGGTGAAGATTTTCGTCGTGTTTTTTTACTATTACTTGCTCCTATAGGGAAAGCAGCTTATATTATTAAATGTAACACGATTCATAATAGTTTAGCAGTTCCAGCAAGTCAATCACTTAAAAATTACAAAATTGATACTACTTGATCAAATATCAATGGTTGGACACAATATGTTTACAGTTCAATTGAATAACCGTTTGAAAGATTTAAAAGGAAGTAAAGAAGACTTTGGTGGTGTTAGCATCATAACCCTATGTGAACTTTTTCAACTTATCGTCTGTTCGTTGGAGGATTTATTTCCAAAATTTGAGATGATCTGAGATCGGCGAATTTATAGACATGCATGCTTTTCGAGTTGTAAAGGACTGTTCATAATCTTCGGTCCAGTTAAACTGTGTTGTACTGGGGCTGGTTGTATAAAAAAGCGATTAAAGTTAATTATGGTTAAGTGCAGACGTCATCCAATAAGAAGTGCTTATTTGAGAATGAGTCACTATTTAACTACAAAATAGTGATTAGAATAGTGATTAAGAGTTTTATACAACCAGTCCATGGTTTTATGTGAATTTAGTGCGAGGTGTCGAAATAGTGGCATAATTGGTCGCTTAAACTCGTGTGCCGACAGTAACTATAGGTTCTCCTTGGTGTTTCGTCCTTTATTTACTATTTTTAGTGTACCACATGGAATGAATTTGAAATATGCTACTAATCTCATGATAGCTGGACGTAGCTTCTCTAATGTGTGTTGAAGATGAGAACCAACGTGAATTTTCAGATACTTTTCTCAGATATACAACTCAAAATTTAAAGATACTTTTCTCAGATGTACAACTCGTCGATCAACCACGGAGAAATTAAAAATATGTTTTTTTGCTACAAACATAGACCTTCAACTTGTGTTTTCCGCTGCGGGAAAACGTTTGCCACAATGGCATGTGCATGACAAGGAAATTGCTAGTTTTGTTTCCAAATGAGTGCAGAATGCAATTATACGTTACTCAAGAATACTTTTAAAGGAATGTAACGAATATCGTGTTGCTTTCTACATTTAATATTGATCGACGACCATTTTCATTCTTACTGAAAGGCTTTTACAAAATAATACATGTCTACAGCATAATGCCTCTTATTAAAAAAAAAATCGATAGTACTTGTTTCACTGATGAACTCGAAAGCAACCTTAGTAAAGCGTTTTGTAAAGTGAATTTACATTTATATTATATAGAACATCAGCGAGGGATTCGAATTCGGCGAAATATTACCCTCGCCCAATCAGATAAACTTTTAGCAATCACAGTATATTGGACGGTCCATGAATGATTATGTTTCATACAATTATTGTACAATGTGGTATTAAATTTAATATAAAATATTTTTCTTAATATTCTGAGTATTTACCAATTTGAGACTTTCAAATTCAAAGTAAATATTGTGTTTTTATTAAACTATAACTGCAGGTTCGTACCCATGCAATCCCCATTACAGTACTTCATGGAACATATTGTATATTGGCCGGGTATAATAAAACGTAACATGGTAGCAATTTTTGCCATTTTCGGTAGGTGGACAAAAGGCAACCTTTGAATGTGTAGATCACCCCTTTTGTTGTTTACGGTAAAAGAAAGATAAAGTTTATTAAAAAAAAAAATAGGATAATGACAATTAATAGGCAGAATTTCTGAGGGGTGTGTCCTTTCAGCACGTACATCCCAGGTAGCTTCAACATAAAATTATCCGGTACAAATAGGAATTACTTCCCCGCAATTAGGACACCTTTAATAGACAGACACAAGATTGAGATCTCGACAATAAAGAACTTACGATTTTAAGATGACAACGCGACGACAACGGCCAAAACAAACTCCTTCAGATTAAATGGTGGTAAATATAAATCGTATGAATTTAATACAGTCGCAGAATTTGAAGACATGGGTTTTACGGTTGGAAAGAGTGATACTGTACCCATTGTTTGAAGTTGCATTGGTTGCAGGCTTAAATGCATTCGTTGTATTAATACGTGAAAAACTGTGATTTGGCGTTGTAAACAAAGCGAAAACAATGTCTAAATTATTCACATACAGGGTATATAAAAACAACTGAAAACCAGGGGGGGGTGCTTTTTCTAACAAAATATAAATGGGTTGTGCACGAAATTTAAAAGCTTTAATCAAATTTTTAGTTAAATGAATGGAAAATTTTTTGGTTTTTAATTACTATACAAAATTTTAAACAATTTGCTTTTGTCCTTCAACTATTCATTTTTTCCTAACAAATCAGTCCTTCGCATGCTTAATTAATGTCTTTACCTAATTTGCATATTGCTGACATAAGCAAATAAGGCAAATACGTTAATTAAGCATGCAATGATTTCGTACGGGAAAATATAAGTTTGCGTGAATAGCCGTTAAAAGACTTAAACTCAAGCACATTTTTTGAAATTTCGTGCGGCAATTAAACACATAACACATTTTTCGCTCATTAACTCAAAATACGATTAAAGCTCTTGAATTTCTTGCCTAAGCCATTTTTGTTCTGTTGGAAAAAACACACACCCCTGGTTTACAAAATTTGAGTTCGAGAAATTTTTTTCATTATTCTACATTATAAGTACCCAAAGAAACTACATATATAAAAAATTGGATTCCAATAGCTTTTTTGCAAAATTGAGAGCGATTTCAAATCTGTTCAGTTCTTTTTTATACACCCTATATTTTAATTATTCAATTAATTTCAATGATCTATTGTATTGGTAGCCGTTGTCGTAAGGTATCGATTTTAGGACGACAACGCAACGGCAACGGCTACCAGTACAATAGATCACTGAAAATAATTGGGTAATTGCAATATATGAATAATTTAGACATTATCCTCGCTCTGTTTCCAACGCCAAATCACAGATTTTCACGTCTTGATAAAACGGCTACATTCCAAGCCACAACAAGTGCAACTTCAAACTGGGTTTAGCAGAACTATTCCCAATTACGAAACCCATGTCTTCAACTTATAAAACTGTATTAAATTCATACGATGGATAATATACGACGAACTATCTTTACTACCATTTATTTGAAGGAGTTTGTTTTGGCCTTCGCCATCGCGTTGCCGAACGCGCGAAGTTAAAGACTGGGTGAATGGACTCTGGAGAAACTTTAGTTCGTCAAATGGCTCGTCAGGAATAGTGAGCTACCTCGACTGTAAATCTTGTGTTCCGATACGCTACATTTTAACTATCAAACGTATCAAAATTTAAATGTATTTCCTGTATTCACGTGACATCAATACTAGGGAGGATAGTTATAATTGTGTCATGCATATATAATAAAAAATAACCGCATGGGCAAGTACGTCGTGCAACGTCCTTTATATAATTACGTCGTTTGGCTCATAAATCGTGAGCCGATCACTTTGCGTAATTAAACTAACAACGAGAGCGAGGCTACAACACCAAAAAGTATGCATGACGGAATTATCGAGAGGGTGTGTTAATGACTAACACTATATTCTTGTTTTTTTTAATTCGCCAAAATGCACTCGCGTCGGCGGTTCGTGCCCATTGTGGGAACATTTACGAATTATTATTTGTAGTGTTAGTCATTATTTGTACATCTTCCCTTTTGATTACCTGTACTTGTTGTATTATTATACTATATTTGTGTATGTAAAAACTACATTCTGACATGTAATAATTGTTCTATAACACTAATCTAACAATTTGTCATACCCAGAAACTGTGTAAATCAAATTAAAATCGGGATATCTATGTATAGGGTAATAGGGAATTAGTTTTTAAGCTGTGAATATTGTTGCACACTACTTAATTGATTTACATTGTTTCTTAGCTTTTATAAAGATCGCGTTGAATCTTTGAAAATATTTGACATAACAATCAACATTTCTCCATCTGAACGCCGTCCTGTTTTGGAAATGATGAAAATTATTCTTATTTTCCTGTATTTTTAATGTTCTCGGTTAGCATTGATTAGTCGTGGTGCTTTCGATAGCAGCCGAGAGTTTCTTTTGGCGCTCGTCGGAGTCCTCTGAAACGATTTCTGAGTCGCTGTTTTCAGAATTGATTTTGCAATCGTCGACTGAGCAGTTGTGCAGTTGTTCGCTTTGTCGTGCGCATTTGTGTTCAAGGACAGCCAGTTTTGCATTCAAGTTGCGAATTTCTTCCTGGGAAATAATAAAAATTTTGTTGCAAATAAATTATTATATAGTAAATGGATGTTAAATTGATAAAATAAACTAGCTTTACTTGCACTAAATTCATCGGCCATTCCAAACCGTTCTACCTATAGATCCAGTAAGATTCATGTCTTGTTTGTCAAATGTAAATAGAGAAGAAAACGCAATTGACCATTTGCGTAATAGACTAAATTTTGATCTCAACAAAAATTTCATTACAGCTTGAAAGAGCATCACAAAATTAGTAATATTCCAAAGTTTCGTTGCAAAATGTTGTAAAATGCGGAAAATATAGCCTTGCAAATTTGCAATTTTCAGTCATTTTAGATTACAAACCGGAAATTGACAGCCTCGAAGGGTTTGGGGCTGTCAATTTCCCGTTTGTAATCTAAAATGACTGAAAATTGCAAATTTTGCAAGGCTATATTTTCCGCATTTTACAACATTTTGCAACGAAACTTTGGAATATTACTAATTTTGTGATGCTCCTTCAAGCTGTGATGAAATTTTTGTCTAGACTTGTTTAGTTCAAAATTTAGTCTATTACGCAAATGGTCAATTGAAATTCAATTTTAGCTTACACTGGATAGCTCTTTCCTTGTTGCTCCTATGTATCTATAGCTACCTACTGTACGAAGCCCAAACTAAATTGACTTTTATTAACATTCGAAATCTGCGATAAGGCTAAATATTATATTAAAATTATATTACAGCCATATAAGCAAAACTTACTGAATTTCAGACATCATTTTCTCTTTGGCGTATCATCTAAAATCTCTTCATATTAGCATTATTTTACAGATAAAACACTAGGCATACTTTTTCAGTTTGTTTGCCGATTGAGAAACGTATCGAAAAATAAAAATTTTGAATTTTAAGGTCATAACCTCAAGTGACATATTATACGCATAAGTTTTGAGCGCGTGTTACGTAACATATACAAAAAAATCTCTTCTTAATTTAAATATTCCAAAAATTATCGCGGAAAATGGCAATTTCCGCACGGCCCACTCTTACGCAAACGCGAATACAATTGCTACTTTCATAATTAATGTTCTGTGTTATCCGTCTGTGTAGTAATCTAATGTTATTCCAATGGAATGTGGTATTTTTGAATGGCTTTTGTATGTGAAAGTTATCGGTTTGAATTTACCTGAATCGTTTGTTATGAAGTTTAACACTTTAGTACATTAATTTCGTTATCTTTGGCATTTTAAATTGATTGGAAATTAATCATGAAAGTGCATGGTAATTGTAATTCGCGTTTGCGTAAAAGTAAGCTGTACGGAAATTGTCATATCTTTACATTATATGTATATTTTTACATTGATAACTGCGTTGAAAAGCCCTTGAAAAATAGGACATCATATTGGTATAAAATTTGAATACTATACATACCCAGATAACAGAGAAAATTAAGCATGAAAGTTGCAATTGTAAATTGTGTTTGCGTAAAAGTAGATCGACCGTATACGGAAATTGCCATTTTTTCGGCGACAATTTTTGGTAGGCTATATTTAAACTATTTTGAACGAAATTGATAATTTCGTTGAAAACCCGTAGACATATTTAAACGGATAGCTGCATTGAAAGACGATTAACAAAGAAACATTCATGAAAGTAGCAAGGATTTAATTCTGTATGAAAAATACAAACACCACTCTATATACCTTCATTTCAGCATTTTACCATCCTATCCGTTCGCATTTTACCCTCTCATCCGTCCGCATTTTACGATCTTATTTGATTGACAGTTCTTTCAATAGAATTATACAAATTACTTTAATCAATGTTACAATTCTAAACATTGCATTTTATCGCGGCCTGTTGAAAGTAAAATATTTTTATTATGCAGTGAATCTTTCGGAAAAGCCATCACTTCTTTGTTACAAGTATTGCAATATTAGCATTTTTATTAATACACAACGAAATATAAAATAAATGACAACAAAGTACAGTAGAAGAGCGGAAGTGTGTGGGTCTTAGTGTTTTGACTGTAAATAAAAATCGTCCATCGTCCAGGTTTTAGCACATGCCATTTATTTGAGTCCCAAGGAATATTTTGAAGGATCAAATCGATGAAAGCACAAAACCTCAATCTACGAGCTATAAAAACCTTACAGGTGGAGGTGGTTTTTTGTTTGGTTTTTCACTTTTTTCTAAAATTGAACAATTCGGCTATGAAACTGTTAGGCCGTTTGCTGCATCTCGATATCGTTCACTTTCATTTCCCACATCTTGGAACTGAAATATTATTACGGGAACTATAATTAACACTTGTAATTCGAACACAATGAGTTAAATCCGAAAAGTTCCGGCACAAACTGCTATTTTGTCTTCGCTAATTGCACGACAACTTTTTCATTGTTCAACGACACGGATGGATGACGACAAACGATTATCTCACTTAAAAGAACCAATTTCTGTTAACCAGTCCTTCTTTTAGCAAAAGACTGATTTTGGTCGATATAGCAGTCTTGTGTAAAAGCGTATTCGAAAATGCTAGTTCCCGTAAAAATACTTCAGTTCCAAGAGATGGGAAATGAAAATAGTTTTCTATAGGCTCTTTTCCAAGGTAACAGCAAACGGCCTATCTGATATATTTCTGTTCACATATAATCTCTTTAATTAATCTTGTATAAGCGCGACTAAAAATTTGAACGTTGTCTTGAGAAGTAAACAACTTTTTTAACGTTTATTGAACGTTCGTGTACAATTTTTGAAATGTTTTCGTAGCTATTTTTTGGTCTAGTGATATTCGTATCATATGTAGAATTGCTGTATATAGACTCACAATTAATTTGGCACTCAAAACGAAGTATCGTTGAACGCTTTTTGTTACTAGACAACTTTCACAAAACCCTTTCGTAAATAAAAAGCCCGGTCAAATTATTTTGTTTTGTTTCGATCGTGCGGTTTCCTGGGATAGTCCACGTACTAGTCCCGGAAACGTCCCGCATGCTAATGTATTCTCGTGCCCTAGCGCGAAGTGCTGATTGACTGAACCAAGTCAAACTGACATTGTTTTGCGGACTAAAACCCGAAGGGATCAGAATCGGTCTTGCACTCGATGATGTAGCAACGTCTTAACAAGCTTCCGAAGCAAAGCCTGACACCAAACAGAACCCAAACTTTTCCCACGAATCTTCGGTGTGACAAACACACAACAACTGAAGACAGCAAAGTTTTTTGCCACTTTTTAAAAGATAAGCAACCGTTCAATCAGTTCAATGTCATTTTTCGATGTATGCTCGTGCTATTGCGCTAATAATGACCTAAATTTTAAAAAATGTGTGCGCAGTATCACCGTCTCAACATAAATCGTAACTCATTATTGACATTTTGAAGTTTGTCAAGTTTGCGTAAATATCTGAATGAACTAAATATTAAGTAATTTCGACTTAGATAATTCGCAATGCAGATTAGTTCTACTTACCCGCAGTTGAAAAATTTCTGTAGTCTCCATCTCAGTCTCACGTGAAACCATACGATTTAGACTAAATAACTGACTCGAATGAAGTGGCGATTGGCGCAGGTCTGTCAGCCCTGATGTTGCAGAATTTGCACTACTGTCTCTTTGCGTAGACTTCTCGTACTTCCGGATTAGGTAGATCTAAATAACAAACGAAGTGATGCATAAGTACTGTCTTGTAACCCATAACATATTTTCTGATGGTTTTCTGAAACAAAAACAATCATTTATCACGGAGTCATTCTTCAGAGAGGTGACAAATGTCTATAGTTCATTGTCTATTTGTCTATTATTATTATTATGATCAGCAAACAATCACAAAGCATGTTTATTGTGAGAAACATTTGACAGTTTTCGGGGTTTTGTATAAAGCATGCGTTTTATGTATAATGTAAATAATATAGGTTGAGGTTTAATACAAATCATAGCTAACGAGCACGAAGTCTACGAAAGTTTATAATATGCCACCCAACGTGGAGCAGGCTTTTTTAAAATGAAGGCTGCCATTCGAACCAACAATGTCGACGAAAGAAGCGTAGGAAAAACTAGATAGGCTTCGTGCAAGGCAAGGAGGCCATCGCAGGGTGTCTACAAAACTTATGAAAGAAGCGATGGAACTGCTGTAGACACCTGAAGCAGAAAATATCGAAAGATGCGAAATTATAGCTGCTCAGCTCAAAGAAAAGGTGACATTATTAACAAAAATCGACGAGGAAATCTTAAACTTGTGCGATGTGAGCGAAATCGGACTAGAGATCGAAGGATCAGCCGAAATATCGGACAGAATATCAGAAACGAAGCGAAAAATCGACAAGCAAACAACAACCGCCAGAAATCATGACAATATTAACACGAATGTAAACGACGCGAATTCGAACTTGAACTCGGCTACAGAACAGGGAAATACAACGAATCTAATCGAAAGTTCAACAAGCACAACGAATACAACGGTGGGAAACGAAATTGAAGAAAATACGTACGAGTCATAATTCACCCTTGTAGAACCAAACACTATTTAATTGCTATTTAATTCCTATTTTATTGGGCTATTTAACTCCTATTTGTCAAAGTATTTATTTCCTATTTTTACTATTATTTTTTTCGAGGTTTTTCCTATTTAAATTGGGGTAGAAAAGCTATTTTTTTCCTATCCAAGTGGAACCATATTTTTTTCCTATTCATGATATATTTCTAAACAAATACTTAATTGATGTACTCGAATAGAAATTAAATAGGTATCAGATATGGTAAAAATAGAGCTATTTAAGGAAATTATTAAAAATATATAGTTTCGACATAGTTAATAAATATGTATGAAATAGTTAAAACATAGTGACAATATAGGTATAAAATATGTAATAAATAGTTGAAATGAGTTTCAACTAAGTTTAAAATAGTCAATAAATAATTGAAAAATAGTGATATTATAGTTTAAAAATAGATAATAAATAGTTCAAAAATAGTGATAATATAGTTTAAAAATAGATAATAAATAGTGATCTTATAGTTTAAACATAGATAATAAATAGCTCAAAAATAGTGATAATATAGTTTAAAAATAGATAATAAATAGTTCAAAAATAGTGATAATATAGTTTAAAAATAGATAATACATAGTTCAAAAATAGTGATAATATAGTTTAAAAATAGATAATAAATAGTTAAAATACATCCCAGCTTGTTAAAAATAGATAATAAATAGTGGATATAATATTGCCCAAATAGATTAAATATAGTTAAAAAATAGTAATAACATATTAAATAAATAGTTAAAATATGTCATGTTAATACAGTTAAAATAGTTATTAAATATAGTGTATACAAATACATATGGCCTATAAATATTTTTAAAATATATTATAAATACCAGTAGTTAAAACATAGATAATAAAAAGTTAAAACATATAATGTAAATAGTCTTTAAATAAAATATAATTAGTAAAAAAAATTGAGAACAAGTGTAGAAGTGCTGAAACATCAGAGGCTATTACGGACCTTACTTTAGTATTTACCGTGTGTAAATGACAGACAATTTTACTTATCAGTAGGTAGAGGTCTGTCAATAAATGAGTTAAAAATCTGTAGTTAGCAGTCTCTTTGGTAGCCAAAGAGTTAAGTATATACATGTAAGTCAGTAACTTGGCTGGGGACAGGGCAGAAAAAAAGCAAGAACATCATGTAACATCAAGAATAGGGCGAAGCTCAGCTGCAGCTAGTTCAGGCCTTCTTTACAGGTTAGAAAAAAATTTATATATTTGAATAATACCCTGAATCTAGCTGGATATTTTTCAACTATCCAACATATACACTGTATGGAGCTGCATAGCAAAAACATTCTATCCTGCACACCCTACAAAGAACTTCATTCTTCAAGTAAGTAAGTAAGGTAAGAGCAAATTGCTCCTTTATAGGTGTTAATATTTAGGTGAGATATGGGCGAGCATGCCACAGCCTGTAAGTAAAATTGTCTAGCATGAAATGTCAGAGTTAAATAATAATATCAAAGTACTTAAGTAGGAAGTGTTTGATGTCAACATGAAACATGGGGAGAGTCTAGTACGCTAGCTAGACACTTCCCTTGATGAATAAAATTGTCCGGCATTAGGCAAGATAACATTTAATAATTTTGAGAATGCGGAAATGGTGTCTCATAGAACCGAAAATGATTTAAATGCAACATTTCTGATCAAAATCACATAGGGATCCCCCCCCCCCCCAAGCATCACAGAGAGGAAATAAGGTGACACTGACCCCTCCTCCTAGTCTCCTCAAGGTGACTTTTCCAATTTATTTAATTCCGAGTAGAAATGTCTGGAAAAATTCATGTCTTCGATGTACTTTATAATCTTCGGAACTCTTCGGAATTTCACTCCCAAAATGCTTGAAATCGCTTGAATTCAAGGACCCTAGATTTGAAAATTTCCCCGGGGGTGCATGCCCCCGGACCCTACTAGACTGTTCGAACCCCCCCCCCAAAAAAAAAAAATTAAGGTCTGGCTACGCCACTGGTTATAGCTGTACGATTATAGCTACAAAGGGTTGAAGTTATTGTCTATATAGGAGAAGTTAATAAATTCAAGTTTTACAAAATCTCTCTTCAGACTCGCGTGTTCGCCAAACTTCGATGGGTCATATTTTTCGTTCTGCCTTTTTTCCTGTTTTGCCCCCCCCCTGGTAAAAATTTCTTAAAAAAGGCACTGTGCTATTTATTAGCTATTTTAACAATAGCTCTAAAAATAAAAGTAAACATAGTGTAAAAATAGCTATTTAATAGCCATTTTGACCAAAATTCGCTACAACTTTCTATGAATAGGAATTAAATAGCTATTTAAGATCTACTTATTTTGCTATTTAATAACTATTCTAGGAATGGCTCTAAAAATTAAAAAATAAAAGAAAACATAGTTTAAAAATAGCTATTTAATAGCTATTTGGAACAAAGTTCGCCACAACTTTCTATGAATAGGAATTAAATAGCTATTTAAGATCTATTTATTTTCCTATTTAATAACTATTTTAACAATACTCAATAATATCTCAAAAAATAAAAGCAAACATAGTTTAAAAATAGCTATTTTATAGCTATTTTGAACAAAGTTCGCCACAATTTTCTATGAATAGGAATCAAATAGCTATTTAAGACCTATTTATTTTGCTATTTAATAACTATGTTAAGAATGGCTCCAAAGAAGATATGCAAAAATAGTTTAAAAATAGCTATTTAAACTATTCTAACTGACTCGTTTGTCATCAATAGGAATTAAATAGCTATTTAAAAGCTATTTTATAGTGAGATTCCGTCAATTACTCTTTCAAATAGGATTTGAATATCTATTTCAAAGCTATTTTTTTGAAAAATATATATAACCTATATTTTAAATAGGGAGTAAATAGTCATATACTATTTTATGAAATTTGATAAATAGTAATAAAATAGACATATTTTTGAAAAAATACGGAAAAAATAGGGCTAAATAGAGAAAAAATAGGTATAAAATAGGTTATAAATATGTCGGATTCTACAAGGGTGATCAATTACTGTTCTATCAAAATTCTGCTTGAGAAAGCGAAATGCAAGTAAAGCTTCATTTGGAAGAACCTCCTTTGCTTGAGGAAATACCCTTTCACACTCTGCATGGAATTGGGGCTCTAAATAGTCGTTGGTATCTTCAAGAATACTTGAAACCTCTGCAACCTCTTCTAAATCTTCATCACTTAGATGTGTTCCACACTTGGTGCCTCCGTAATGCTCAGGAAACTGGTAGATGTGTTCTGGAATTCCATCAGGCAGATGCTTGTTTCTTTGCTTTCGTCCTCTATGGTTGTTCCAGACTGTGTTTTTAAAAATATCCAGCTCTTTTTGCAGCAAAGGTATATATACATATGCAAGCATTGACCTAGTGGAGTGAAAAGGTAAATAATGTAATTTGTTCTGAAAAGCTAAGTCTATATTTCAAAACGTTTCCACATGTAATATTGGGCAACATGCGATACCTGTCAGTTTCATCAGATGGGTCATAATCTCCTGCTTCCAACAATTCATTTAATTGGTCCTTAAAATATCTCTCCAGTCGTTCTAGCAATTCCCGCCACCATCTTTCAATTTTATTCTGGGTAGAAGGGCCAAACAATACTGTTTCAGTTGCATCATCTGTATTATTCAGTTTTTGCTGTAAATAGCAATGCATGGTAGTCATCATAACTGTTTCTGTTCCTTTGTCCACTCGAATTCTTTGGGGCAGTGCTAAAAATGAAATCCCAGGGGTTAAACAATTACAAAATGAAAAGATAAAAATTAAAGGAGAAAAAAGTATAAACAAATTGTATTATAGTTATTACAACAATATAGTAGCTTGCCATATTGTGAGCCTAAACCTCAGATGTGGTGTACTGCACTTTTGGAACATGGGGAATAAGGTGAGCTAGGGCCACACCAACCTTGCTACCCAAGGTGAGGCTGACATGATTTTACAATTTTAACATGCTTGTGTGACTATTTGCCTGAAAAGTAACCCAAATGACCTGGATTTACAGTACCATTAGCATCTACTTTGGAAATCAAAATTAACTTACTGTGGCTTTCTGAAAGATAGTCAAAGTAGAATCTGCCTATGACCTCCGGTTTGTTGTTTGTCGTCCATATTCGAAGAAAGTTTATTCTTCCACTGAATGTGTCTTGTCCCCCATAAATGCACAGGGGGAACATTGATTTTTGGAATCCACATAATTTGTCATGCCCATCTAAGGACATTGTGAAGTCAGAACCCTATAAATAAGGAAAAGAAAATCCTTATGACAAGCATACATATTTATGCTTATCAAAAAGAAACATACACATCAGCATTTAACTATTCAATATTATCTAATAATATTGTAATCCCCACCTTGCCCCCCCTCCCCCCAACCTCGAGGAAAAGTGGGGGACATGTGGGGCATTTTTCCTCTTTTGACACTTAGTTACGCCCACTGGTTACGCCTGACCTAATGGGGAATTTTCCTATTATGTTGGATCCCCAATCCCGGTATGTGGGGCATAATGTGGGGCCATCATATACAGCCTGCTTGCAGGCTAGGATTGTCCTGTTGAGCCTGTGTCTGACCTAAATATTACAAGCCAAGTTAGTGCTATTTTTTGTTTTTTATAAAGTTCTATATTCTGTTTGTTTCACTCTATGGTGACAAAATAGCATATTACAAAAATCCTCTTTGTTCAATAAAATTTAAAAATTTTGCTTCCACTGTTTGGGGGATTTGACAAGATTAGTCAAGTCAGCCTGCCTCAGGGGGTCCGGGCAACAATATATTAAAATCTATGCCCCCACCTTTCCCCGAGGTTGGGCGTAGGGGGTTACAATTGACAATTTCATTACCTCTGCAATGAAGACATGGTTTCTTTTAGGCTTTCTTGGTTTTCCAACGTTTCCCCTTGCTTCCAGACCTTCAGGATTAATTTCTGTCATCACGTCGTATACTAGATTCCTAGACACGTTTAATTTGTGTATTTCTCGCACTTTCTTGTGCATGGCTCGGTATCCAAGTAGTCTACCTGGTCCATCCATCTCTTTTCTCACTGCGTCTTCAACTTGAGCCACGTCAACTTCGTAATTTGTATACTTAATGTCAAAATAACTCATCATTCGGCATAGAGTTCTTAAACTCCAATGATACATTGTATATTTTTGTTCAACAAAGTCCAGTATTTCTAAGCGTTGAAAATTTCGATGAACATAATCCTGCAAATCAGTTTTAAGTTCTTGATCATTTTTCCAGTCCGCCATATTTAAATTCAGTATTAGGGACCGCGATCTGTCTGGTTTGCGGATGCATTAAGTGGAGTTACGTCCCCCCCGGAATGGCACGCCTGGGCCACGTATTATTTTCAATTCATTTTATTTTTTTTTTAAAAACAATTAAACTGAATTAAATTAATACTAAATTAAAACTATATAATAAATAATAAAATAAATAAATAAAAAAAATAAACTAAAAAAATAATAAAAATAAACTAAATTAAAACTATATTGAAATTAGAATTGAATTGAAATTAAATTGAAATTAAAATTGAAATCAAGTTAAAATTGGATTTCATAAACAAAAAAGTACGTGGCACACCTGGGCCACCATACAGCTCTAATTGCCTTGAATTGATGGTTGGGTAAGAACAGAAGGAAAACTGTATTTCTTTAAAATTTTCTAATTTTTATTTCTTTGAGTTTTGTCCCATGAGTACAAGGCCTAGTGTTCTTATCCAACCATTAATTTAAAGCAATTAGAGCTGTCAAATTACTACAATACGTTATAGCTAATTTGAATTTGAAAGAGTTCAGTTTTTTTTATACACACTGTATATCTAAATAAAATATAAGCTTTGTTATTTAATGTGTGATTTTAACTTAATGAACTATCATTCTCATCAATTTACAAATGAATTTCTGGATATAATGTACTCAAATATGTTTTACCCTTTGGCTTTGATAACGCGCCCTACTAGAATAACCTCTTACACAGCCACGCTTATTGACAACATATTTACAAATCACCTCGAGCTAGAGTTACTGTTTTAGAGGTTTATTATTCAGAGATATATCCGATCACCTACCAGTATTTTGTGTTCTTTATAACCAACGCACCTATGTTGATAAGGAGGCGTATGTCGTTTACAGTGACAAAAACAAAACAAACATTGCTAAATTTATGACAAATTACGAAATATAGTTTAGTCTGATCTTCCGGAATATAATGATCCTAAATATGCATATGGTAGTTTTTGAATAAATTTACCGAAACATTTAGTTATTTGTTTTCCATTGAAAAAAGTAAATGCTTTCAAGTATGACTTCGGAATGCTTTGGTTATCGAAAGGTGTTTTAAAGTCTATAAAAAGGAAAAACAAATTGTTTAAAAAATATTTGAGTATTCCATGTCATATTAATAAGAATGTCTACAAAAAAAGGAATAAACTTAACCATTTGTTACGGATTGTCAAACGTAAATATTATGAAGGAAAACTTGAGAATGCTAAATCAAATACCAAAAATATTTGGAAGATCTTAACGAAGTACTAAATAAGAAACGACTACATAGGAAACTACCCTCCGACTTTACAGTTGACAATCAAAATATTTCTGATCCGGTAGAGAATGCAAATTACTTTTGTGATTATTTTACTAATACTGGCCCAAATTTGGCATAATTCGTATAAATCTTTTCTCACAGGCAAATTTGTAGATTCCATATTTTTAGATTTAACTACCGAACCTGAAATAATAAATATTGTGAATTCTCTTCGTTCTGGTATTGCAGCAGGATATATGATAAGATCTCTATTTGGTCTGTGAAAGGTTCTAGTGCCTTAATTTCGAGCCCTTTGGCGCATATAGTTAATTTATCCTTAAAGTCAGGGATTGTTCCAGATCAGTTGAAAATTGCTCTTGTTTTGCCATTATTTAAGTCTGGTAATAATAATATGTTGTCAAATTATCGACCTATTTCTGTTCTGCCCATCTTTTCCAAAATATTTGAAAAAGTTGTGTATAACCGTTTAATCATCTATTTTAATAAATATGATATTTTGTTTAAAAATTAATACTGTTTTAGGGAATAAAGGTCATTCAGCATCTTTAGTCCTTTATCATTTATTTGATAACGTTACTAAAGCAATCGACCAGAAAGAATATACTATAAGTGTTTTTATTGATCTGCCAAAAGCATTTGATACGGTAAATTATGAAATATTGATTAACAAACTAAAGTACTATGACATCAGCGGATGGGCCGGATTAAGAGTTATTTTGGTAATAGACAGCAGTGTGTTGAATATAATGGTGCCTATTCACCTTATAATAGTATCAAATGTGGAGTGCCTCAAGGGTCAGTTCTTGGTCCATTGCTGTTCTTGATTTATATTAGTGATCTCTGTAACGCATCAAATAATGTTGAACTGATTCTATTTGCCGATGACACAAACATATTTTTCTCTCATAACAACTTGCCGCTTTGATGAATACAATTAATTCTGAAATGAATAAGTTATTTGAATGGTTCAGGGCTAATAAATTATCAATGAATGCTAAAAAATCTAATTATATGATTTTTAGACCACGTCAAAAAAGACAAATTCTTGACATACCATTATTAGAATTAAATGGCCATAAGATTGACCAAGTAAAGGAGGTTATGTTTCTGGGTGTAATATTAGATGAATGTATGACGTGGAAACCTTGTATTTCGCACGTTGCTAGTAAAATTTTCAAGTCAGTAGGAATTATACACAAGTCAAGTTTTTTTCTAAATCAGCATTACGTTTGCTCTATTATGCTCTCGTATATCCTTGTCTGTAATATTGTATTACAGTTTGGGGTTCAACTTATCCTTCTAATTTATATCGTATTGTCTTAATTCAAAAGCGTGTTATTAGAGTTATTAGTAAGGAGGCATTTGATGCAAACACCGGCCCCATTTTTCAGAAATCATTCATTTTGAAATTTACTGATGTCTACTTACTTGAATTAGGCACATTTATATGTACAAATACAATGATAAGTTATTTCCTCTAACCTTTGACAACTAACATATAAATACCAATCAAATTCATACATGCAACACATGCAGATCTAAACAATATTATATTCCTTCTTGAACCAAAATTCGACAGTTTTCCGCAAATTATCAAGGTCCCTTATTTTTTAATTCATTAAGTTCAGTTATTTGTGATGCCTCAACTGTTTCCTTGTTCCAGTCTAAATAAAAATTGTACTTGTCCAGTAGGCTATCACGTAAATTTTTCTGTATTATAGTTATACTGCATGTCTTTAGTGTTATAGTCATTTATGTGTACGTCTAATTTCTGTCACTTTAATATAAACGTTTGCTGTGTGTTTCAGTCATGAGGATCCCAAAGCCCTTCCACGTGTGCATGATATATGTGTTATTTAATATTATCATATACCCAATTCTGCCTGAAGATTACAAAAACCATGCCAAAACATGCCAGGGTGTAGATTAAGATTCGGACAGGACGACAGAGTAAGTAGAAAGTCCGCCAAACTTTAAATCGACTTTTACAGTGAAAGAAAAATTCGTAAAGTTTCTTGAAATAGGGAAATTTGTAGATATATCTTTTCAACCGATTGTTTCCAAATTTTGACATTGTTTCGCGATATTTAAGGAGTAAAACAGTTTGCGTACTTTGTGTCCAGGCCGACTTTGTATGTGTAATCCTGTTTAATAATATTTATAAGCATATGTTCCATTGTCTACACGCTATGCAAGACAACTCAACTTTGCTGCTTTATATCAAGGCGATTAGCTGTCAAAAAGTGCGAACACAGCTTAATTGTTTCTTAACTTTGATAATTTGAGAAACATGCCTTTTCCGATTTTGGTTGATGAAACCAACGCATGCTTTATTCTTTTGGCGCAAATTTTGCTATTATGTTATTATACAAATTTAATTTTTTTTGATCTGGTGGTCATGCAATGTTACATCGATTACAAATTGCGTGAACCAAACACACAACAATTTTGTATAATAAAATTAACTAACATTGAAACGATGTTGAAATATTCAATATGTTATGAGCGATCGTAGCTTCTTCCGTTATAGATCATCATGAATACAAAGTTTCTCATGCATTAAAATCTTCCAACTTAATTTGCGCACAACGGACGATTTCGATAAAACATGATTCTATATCATGAGATGTAATCTTAACTTCTTAACGAAAATAGTACTCTGAATTGTCCAATTTATGAAAATGAAATAAAATAACCAGAACATTTTTTATGAAATTAACAAGTGAAATTTCAACAGTCTTTCGAAGGCTATATTATAATCTTTCAACACGTCCATGCACCTTTCACCATTACTAATTCGTACGACTCTTCATTCAGTCCGGCTTACTCAAAAAATAACAAATTTATGACGTTTTCACTTCCCAGCGTTCGACTTATTAAACGTAATCCTGTTATAAACAACACAAACTATATATGTTTTAGAGCATATGTACAGGTATTACCCTTCATGAGAATTACATTCAAAAAGTATTGAAATATACTTTTAACCAAATTTCTATTATTTGAACAAATCGCTTGAAAATTGTTGTCGCCCAACTTATTACACTGGCCTGTGGCCAAGTGTCTTAAATCCCTACGTTTCTGTTTTTCCTGGGGGTTTTTTCTGTTTTTTCCTGGGGGTTTTTTCGTCGTTGAGAAATCGAGTTTGCGCTAGCGCATTGCAGGCTCAGTTTGTTCCGTCTGTTCCAGTTTACGACACAGATCAGTTTTCAATATGGCGGCCATTCAATGAGTGACTATTCAAATTGGCCAAACACGCCGCGGAAGCTGATTAACTAATGGAATAATTGGAATTTGAGTATAATTAACGTTGTTTTATGAATAAATAATGATGTACAATGCACAAAACCCTAGTTTACAGGTTGTAACTGCTCTTTCTGCTCGCCAAGACAGAGAAGTGCAAGATAAAGAAATTTACAGACTTTACAGTATGGCTCCACGCATGTTCGACCTCCTTGCACATTTACAAGAAGCGGTACTTGCGAATTAATGCTGTTGCCCAACCGATTGATCTTGATTCCACTCCGCTTCAGAATGGGATAGTCTAAATGGCGCGGGTTGCAATGACTGGTCGCATATGACTAGTCGTATTGTGTAGATGGGCCTGAACACTATTTGTGCAGAAGTACTTAGTAAGTAAGTTGTACAAAAATTGTCAGAAAGGCACTTTCACACTCAATTTATTAGATATTTGCATGTATTTCGGCCCTGGTCAACGACCAGGCTATAAAATGCATTCAGAATTATGTCAAACTGATCATATAATTAAATTATTAAAAATGTCATACAGTATATGAATCAGGCAATTCATAAATTATTAAATACTGATTACTGGTTAACTGGTATAAATACTATAATTTTTAAGCCGCAAAAAATGCTTAGAATATTGTGGGGGTTTTCTAACCAAAATTGCATAGAGAATTTTGATTAATTATCTTTTTACCTTATTTAACAGATTAGTATTTACAGTATATAAATTAATAAAATTATTAAATATACTGACAGTGACAGACTCCATCCAAACATTCCAACTGTTCACTCTCTTTGCGTTTAAAAATATGCAGAATATAATGCCTTCAAACGTGATTTGCTTAAGTTAATTGATGTCTGTTAGTTTAAGTTTGAAGGTCGCAGAGTTTCCACAGAAAGAGACGATATTTGACCGAATAATTGCAGAATTTTTAGTCAAAATAGCCGCCATCTTGAATATATTTAGTACCGGGTAATTGATCTCGGAACTTGTTACCCGCGCCTCGGAACTTTTTACTCGCGCCTCGGAACTTGCTACCCGCGCCATGTTCGCTGGACCCGCGCCATTTTCGCTGGACCCGCGCCATGATCTATTGACTCGCGACCCGCGCCATTTAGCCTATCCCATTCCTGCAGAAGAAATTTCTTATTTAAAAACTTGTCCTTTGGTTCCCGAAGACGAAACTGCTAAAGAAAAGCATAATTTGGAAGGACATAAAAGAGGTAAAATCAAGTTTCACAAGATATAGTGGACGACGTTACGTTAGGAGACGTCATCTTGCAGTCAAACAACATGGCGACTGCATTTATGAGCTAGGAATTTTGTTTTGAAGATGAAATAGCGAATTTTTAGCAACTTTTTGCACCCATTGACCATCGATAATTTTTATCTACAGAAAAACAACAAGAAAACTTTTAGGTACATGCAATTGTAATTTATATAATGGCGTTCTGTGTATTAATCAGTGCCGTAGCTAGCATTTATAGTTGGGGGGGTGTAGGCCAAAAATTTCCGAATGACGAAGAAAATTTCCGAACTTTCGAAAATTCTTGGCGACCTCCCCCCCCCAAAAAAAATTTTGGTCAGTGTACCATTTTAAGGGTCAAAAAAATTTTCCGGACATACCAAAAGTTAGATATTAGCTAAAAATTGCCTGAATCTCATGATTTTAGTACAAAAACCATATACTATAATTGCCGTAATTTTCCGAATGGCCATCCCATTTTCCGAATATGTCAAAAGTTGGGGGGGTTAACCACCCCCCCAATACCCCTCCTCGCTACGGCCCTAGTATTAATGCCGAAGAAAATGCGTTGGCATGCAAGGTGGCTAAACTAAATTCACGAACAAGAACATGATAAATATGCGTTTAAATTAAACTCGAATGATTGTCCCTTGGGATATTGCATTAGTTTTCCGCCTTTAACGTTATTATAAAAAAGGTCTATTGCTTAATTAATAGCTTAAAATATTTAATCGCAGATGTAGGCTACTATACAGCATGAAATTTAGGTAATATTTTTATCATTTATAGACCCGGAGGGAGGTTGATTAGGCGAAATATTACCCGAAATTATGATATTTTATCACTATGAGAAATACGTCGCCAAATCCCCCGAGTGGAGGGTCTATAAATGATATATACTGAAACTTTTTTTATTGATACTTGACGTTTTTGCGTTTTCCATTTAAAATATTTGTACCTGTATCCTTTGGATCATTGAAGGTAACGTATACCTCCAAATATTCACGTAGAAATCTTTACAAACGACCACGCCATAATTTTTTTAGTATGATAAGCGTGTGTTTTCCACTGATCTGAAATAAGGACTGGATAAAGCATCCTATTGAATTCAGCAACATAATTTTGAAGCCAGAATATTTTAATGAGATAAGATTTATAAATCGGTCAAATTCATGACCAGTTTGATCGTTTGGTGTTAAAGTTCAGTTAGACTATAAAGGAAAAAACCTTGAAGGAACTAGCTTCCAAAACCTCTTCGAAATAGTTTTAGAACGTTTTACACACCACTTCAAACACTCATTAATAATTCATAAACTTATTGGCAAATCGTGTCAACCATAATATGTCACGTGCAGTGGCTTTAAACCTGATAAAACACTCTTAATTAGTATTCTTTATATAAAGAATACTAATAAGGCAGTATCTATTGTAGTCGTGTCTTCATTAGTATTATTTTTTTATATAAAGAATACTAATAAGGCAGCATATCTATTGAATTTGCAGTCGTGTTTGAAGCCGTTTAATTAACTCGCAGGTCGTGTTTTATTAGGTCTAAAGCCACTCGCGCTGCGCGCTCGTGGCTTTAAACCTAATAAAACACTCCTGCTCGTTTATTAAACAGTATATAATGAGGCTAATGGCGGCCATATTTGATGGTCCAATTATGCGCTATCCAACCTTATCTTAGATCAGTGGTGTTTTCCACACATGACGAGTGAGCATGAAATACTATATTATTTATTTAAAAGATTCATGTTTTCCGATTGGCTAACAGCTGATCACTGTAAAATCGTCATATCAACTCAATAACTACCCCAAAATGGAGTTTTAACATAATAATATTATTCAACGGAGTGAAGTCAAATAAAAAAATATGTTTAATGTTTAGTAAACATGCATGCAGTTGTGCTGTATTCAACAGTTTAATGCTGAAGAGTTTTATAGATGGTAACTTCGGGTGTAGACCTAACAAGGCTTTGTGCAAATAAACTAAGTCTAAATATAGTGAAAACCGAGTATGTTTTAATTGGAACACGACATAAAATAAGTAATATTGATACCCATCCAAGGAGTTAAAATAAATAATCAATTGATTAAAAAAGTTAAAAATACCAAAGCTCTTGGAGTTGAATTAGACGAAAACTTGAGTTGGGAAAAACACATTAACCATATTAGCAGTAAAATATCATCAGGTATTGGGGCTATTAGAAAAATGAGGGAGTATGTCGAACAAGACATTTTGATAAAAGTTTATAATGCCTTAATCCAACCTTATTTTGATTATTGCTGTGAAGTATGGGATACACTTAATAAAGGCCTAAGCGAACGTCTACAGAAATTCCAAAACAGAGCGGCTAGGTTGATCATGAACTTAAAAAATGAACATGGTCAGTCTATTTTGGCACGAAAATCTCTAGGCTGGGTAACACTTGAAGAGCGTAGGGCACAAATGAAAGCCAGGCTCATGTACAAGACAGTTAATGGTTTAGCCCCCCAACGACTATGCGAAGCTTTCCAAAATCTGAATACCATTCATGACCATAATTTGAGAGGTTCTTCAACAAGGTTTTATATTCCAAGACCAAAAACGGAATCCTTAAAAAAAAGCTTCCAATATAGTGGGGCTAAACTATGGAATCAGATACCTGAAGAGATACGCAATTCGGTATCGTATAATTCGTTCTGTAAAAAGCTATCTTCCTCGACCTTAATCTCGACTTAAAGTAGTAGTTAATTTTTTGTCTAAATAGGTATATAATTGTATTTGTTATGTATGTAATATTAGAGCTAGTATATAAATAATAATTTGTAAGTACACATCCCTTTTGGAAATCAGCTTTTGCTGAAAAGGCCAATGTGTTTAAATAAAGTTGATCTATCTATCTAAGGTGCATGGTACAAAAAATACAACTATATAGGACTTCTGGCAGGAATTGAACTTGCGGCCCTGCGATTCCAGTGCAGCGCTATGACCAACTGAGCTACGGAGTCCGTGCAGTTGGGTTTATGCATATATATATATATATATATATATATATATATATATATATATATATATATATATATATATATATATATATATATATATATATATATATATATATATATATATATATAAATTATCGACATCAACCGTATAATATAACTTAGCAATTTATTTTGATTTACCGTATCGGAAACGTATGTTTCGGTACGATGCGGGTGAAGTGAAAAACAGTATATGGTCGAAATTCTGAACTCGGCTTATTTAAAGCATTTGTGTTGTTTTTGTCTATATTGTAGAGAGCTCAGAATCGTGGAAATGGGAAAAGAACTTGATAATTCATCGAGAAAAGTTCATTAAGTTGCTTGAAAAAGGACGAGACCATCCGCAAGACATCAAGGAAGTCAATGATGTGCGCGTTTGCTGCTCGAACGAGTTTCTTATTGGTAAAGGAAGTGATGGTACTAGAGTTTATGTAGGATTAAGTACAGACGGGTATGAGAGGGCGGTGAAACGTTTGCCAAGAGATGATTGCGCAGATTTAGCTGAAAAAGAAAGGGAAGTTTTGAACGCAGTCAACACAACACAGTCAAACTACGTGATAAATTATCGGTTTTTGGACGAGAACAGCGATAAGGAGTGGTTATTTTTAATCACGGACTTATGCGAGGAAACGTTAATTAAAAGAGTTTGTTGAGCGCAGCAGTTTGGGCGGTTGGTCAACAATTGCGCGAGACATTATTCAACAAATTTTGTATGGATTAGCTGATCTTCATCGCAATCCAAAGCCCATTTTACACCGGGATTTGAAACCATCCAACATCTTGCTAAACGTCCATGGAAGATGGTTGCTGGCAGACTTTGGTATATCAGTCGAATCTTGACGGAAGATGCAGAAACCCATCGAAGCATGGAGAGGGGAACAAATTATTGGAGAGCCGTTGAATCGTGTTCTTCGAATGATAAGTCTAATGATAGAGAATCACGTTACAAGAAAGAATCCGATATTCAGGTAGGGTTTTATTTAATTACAACCAATATGAATGTTCAAAAGCAATATATAACGCTGGGGAGAGAAAACTATTTCGTTATTGTCCCAATGCATTACGTGAGAAAAATTCCTTGATGCATGCTCTCTACTACTGCCAATTAAATTGAGGATATCATAACATTCCGGAATAGGTAGTATGGGGGCGAGGAAATAATATTTACGATGATATTGATTCTGTGTATGGCACATGAGCCACCAAAGTTGGAGAATGGTAATTCAAATTACTGTGTATCATAAAACATAATCACACAGTATCAAATGAGTGAAGCGCAACATGCTATTATGCATTGACCTTAATTATAAGTACTATTTAAAACACGAGTAGGAGTGATTTATCAGATATAAAACACGAGTGCGCAGCTCGAGTGTTTTGTGTCCGATAAAGCACGAACTACGAGTTATTCAATGTTTATTCATTACCATCAATTGACCATGCTTGCAATGCATTCTTGGAAGCCTCGTCATCGGTTGGTTCGCGAATTCACATATCATACTGGCTTAAAAGCGATACAACTTATGAGTTATTTGGCGAAAAAATTTAAAATATACATTGTCTAAGCCGAGACAACTAGTCAAAGCTACCCCCCTAACCGCGCGAAATTCCCTGCCGCAGAAGTCTAGGACGATTCAAAGTGGTCTTTGAAATCCGCCATTTTGTAGAGACAATACTTTACAGAGAAATGATAGGAGTACGCATTCTATGTATATTATCTCTATGATTCAATCCTTCCAATCCGATTCTTTTCAATCCTTATGATGACATAATTATGTGCGTGGTGCTAATATCTATCCGATAATCACCGGCCCCTCCCC